GGGGGGGGGGGGAAGTAAAGAGAGTTTGGAAATTTCAGGAAAATCGTACGAGCTGCCGTGTAAAGGAGAAGATCGAGTAAACTTGTCAGGGGGAGAGAATAGGATACAGGGTGGTTCCTCCGTTCGAAGGTGAATAAAAGAGAATTCACGTTTCAGGTGAGATTACGTAATCGTCTAAAGTAATGTTATCTCGGCATAACGGAAACCTGAGTAAATAAATGCTAACGTCAATTTCGCCATTAATTCTTTTCTTTTTTTTTTTTCCCCGTCAAGTGCTATCGTACCGGGGAGATGAATTCTGTCGTTTTTTTTTTGGCAACCTCCCATAAATTAACTATACGCAAATCGCGGTAGAATTTTTTCTGTAGACAATTTTACGACGCGTCTACGTATTTCCATACGTGCTCGCGTACGTAGGAGGATCGGTAGCCGAGAATAAAACAAGCCGAAGAGATAAGCGCCGAGATAGACAGGATAAGCGAGAACGGGTGAGATTTCACGTAAAAGCCGGGAAATCGCTTTCGGTCGAGTTTCGACGAGAGCGACGAGCGATAGTGTGCGCGTCCTTCGCGACTGAAATATGCGAGGTATCGTAAAGCGCGAACATCTCTGTCATTTTGAAATTTGCATTGAAGAAGGGTGAGCGAGAGGAGGTGGCGAGGGGAGGAGAGGGGAGGAGAGGAGAGGGGGTGGGTGGCGCACTCGTTCGTCTGGGTTACAAAAATCTTGTTTTCCCAGCGAATCTCTCCACTAGGCAAGTAACGCGCACGTACGTCCGCAGTCACGTAGTAATATCGGAAATACATTTTACGAGCTTTCGAGTTATCCGTATTTCCTGAAAATAACGATCATTTTGCATCCGCCGTGTACACCTGCGCGTCTCCTCTAATTAGAGAAGTTTTCAGGAGGCACGATGCAGAATCTGGCTTTGCGGATGTAATGACTCCCAGTACAATGAATCGCGTGGTAACGGGAAATGCGCCACTTGACAGACTGACTAATTATACCATTAGCGTCGGCTGACCCGATTCAGAATATTTTTGAAGTAACGAAAAAAAAAAAAAGAAAAAAAAAAAGACGCGTCCTCGAAGTGGAAACGCTGAATCGGCCAATAGAACATCTCGCGCTCGGACGTCACCGGACGACCTCTGACCTCTGAGAATTTATAGGCCAAATGCACGGAACTGTTTTTTCTCGTCGACTTCGTTTCGCGAAACAACCCTGATCCAATCTCAGGTCCTTCGTCGATGAGGAAGACGCGACGCTCGGTAGTTGGACCCGCTGAAGGAGAATGCACGAGATGAGAATATTCAGTAGGACGTCGACTCGGCGCACGGGAGACCCTATGCGCAGGCAGTAGCGACTGGTTTCTCGAGAGTGACTTGGTTTTTAACCTGAGGCGAAATTACGGGCTTCCGGTGAAGGTGCTGCTGTGCACCAGCGAAACAAAGTAGCTGCTACGAGTTCCGAGAGGAGGCTCCGTTAGGACTCTTACGTATAGGTAAATGGTCTAGTATCCTGTACTGCATTGGGGAGGGAAAAAAAAGTGCCTGTCTCAAAGAAGGAAACGGCCTCGTGTTTCAGTTAATTACGTGAGGAATAATAGGTAGTGGAAAAGTGACGTTACGAGATAGGGTATAGAATGTAACAGTATGCAGTACGCGTGCGATGAGGATAAGACGCGAGGGTTATTGGGAAACCGATAGCTGCGATCTGGTGCAGGATGTCAATTCTGCGAAGGCAAAACAAGCGCGGAGCTCCGGCCGATTTGCGAGGCGCGATTGGGGCTTTGGAAATTGCCCGGTCAATTATCCGTACTGGATTTGCAGGGAGACCAGTCGGACGGTCGTCGCTCGTACCGAGAAGTCCTGACCGGCTGGACGCTCGGCTGAACATTCTTCCAGACGCGGGCCGAAGTTTACGTGAAGAAGTTTTTAATCCGACTGTCCCAATCGACCGTCCACCGTGTAACGCCGGCTGTTCATCGGGGACCGGATTGGAACTGAATAAGACTCGAGGAGAGTTGATAATGCCGGCTACGTGGTTCCGCATCGCCACGTGGTCGGAGTCCTCGAGGAGCGACGGTCTTCTCAAGGATTTCCTGTGGAGGGGGGATGACACGCGCAAGCGCCCTTCGTCGTCCCCTCGAGACGTTTCCTCGTTCCAGAATTTCTCCAAGCCAGCTTAACTCCATAGGGACTTGTATAGTTTCCCACGTTTTCTTTTGTTGCCCTCCGCCCTCGACCATCCTGACCCTCTTCAAAGTTCAGCAGGTTGCTCTGTAATTAGTATGTAAAACCTCGAGCAGCGGATACGTCTGGTTTAAATGGACTCGACGCTTATGATTCGTTCGTGCGAGTCGCGCGGTGTCATTAGACGCGCGTGGTCGGAGAATGAAGGAGAGAAAGAGACAGAGCGATGGGCCAGCAGAAGAAGAGGGAGAGAGAGAGAGAGAGGGATAGTCTGGAAACGTAGCGAAACGTAACTCCGAATTTCGCCTATTCGAATAAAATGAACGAATAAATGCGCCCGGCGCACCCTGGATAAACGGGAGCATTTAGAACGGAGAACCGCGTGTCGTTTCAACCCCGAAAGTGTGTTAGGGTGAACACGCGGGGGTGCTTTTCCTCAGGACAAGGGTAGGCGGTTATCCTTCGTAAATTCCCGGACAAATTTTGGGGCGAATTCACAAACGTAACTTCCTGTCTGTACTGTCGAGTGCCGTTCGGTCGTTCGCATGGATTGACTTGCGGATGCGCCTTTACGGGGAAGCGAATAAAAAGCGAAGGCTTCAATTATTCCTATGTAGATACTAATTACAGCTTCCTCGCGATCGATCGAAGGTACTTACCAACGCAGATTTACAAGTCGGCCGCGATTACCGTCAACTGTAAAAAGTCTAAATGGCTGCTCGCACATTTCCGGTTTGGCTAATTCGCAGACTTCCCAAGCGCCGCCGATTGCGCGTTCGACTGTGTAATAATGGGGAAAAACAAAGTTCCAATGAAATTTTGATCCGAAATTCCTATTGAAAATAATTTCAATGACGGGGGAGATGTCTATCATTAATGGCGTCGCGGCGAATCTTCGTCCTTGGTTCGCACAGGATTTTCCGGTTTCTCCGCTCGTCCGTCCTCCACGCGTTTTCCTGCCGCAGATTGGCGCATCGCCAGCTGTATTTAATTTTCTTTTTTTTTCCTTTTTTTTTTATTTTTCTTTCTTCTACTCTTCCCTCCCTTCTCACTCTTTTTCTTTTTTTCGTTCCCATTTCCAACCTCCACTTCGACTTTATTTTCCTGTCGTTCGGAGATATCCTTTTTTTTTTTCTTCCCGACGTGTTTAAACTCAGATTACGCTAATTTCACGACCGCACCTGCAATCTAGCACTGCGCCAACACGCAACGACGATTCGCACGGAATTCATTCGTTTCTACCTCATCGTGCAATTTTTCGCCGTCCGACACTCTTCCCCCTCTCTCTCTCTCTCCCTGTACCATCCCTATAAATACCACAGATACTGCCAGCACCCATCGCCACCACATAGACACTGAACTCGACCGTGATTGATTGAAAAATTTTTGCAAAATCTTATACCAATTTACTCGCCTCTTATCTAATGAGAAATATTTATAAATTTACGAAAAATAAATTTCCAAAATTTTTCCCATTTCCCTTAATCTTTCCCTTCCATCGTTGATTCCCACTCTCTCTCTCAGTCTCTCTGTCAGGAGTCTCAAGGGTAATCCATCTCTAATCAGGGCCAAGCCATGGACGCCTAGCTACAGCTCGGTCCGTCCAGCTGCACCCCCAGCTCATGCTGCCAAGTGGTTCAAGAGAGTAGAACGGGTTAAGCAAATTGAATTAGTCGCACAATACCGCGAGAGGTACCTGTTGAGTCGTAGACACGATCCTATCTATTTATCAAGTTCAAATGACCATTCCGCCATAAAAGTTAATACTTAAACGTATAAATCGTCCATATATCGGTAGACGCTACCGTTACTGCAAATCACTCACCGGTTAATCCCAGAAGCAGGCAGATTATGTCCCGACGTTTGTCGTTTCCTCCATTCGCCATTCTCGTACCGCCTCCCACCGCGGAGACCATTTAAGCAGAATTACCCAATTTCGTTCACCTGTTCACTACAGTTCACAGCAGCAAGTAAATCGCAGACAATTATTCTCTTTCGCAATGTATCCTTATTCCACACCTTCAATTTATCCGCACATCACGCCAAATGATATTTCAATTAAATTGAAACACGCGATTCCCGATTCGGCAAGCACTTCGAGTCTCGTGCGCGAAACGTGTAACTTTTCAACGGGCAAACTGGATAAAGACGATACCCCAGTGTACCAGCCTTCACAGCCTTTACGTTAAAGATCGTGGATGGGAACACGTGCGCCCGCCTGCGTGACAGACGGAGACAGAAGCAGCACGCAAAGAGGAACGGAGAAGGACGGAGAGCGAAGACTCGCTTCGCGCTAGGAAAATTCCAAGGAGGCTAAGCCGCGGTACGAGGGGAATCGGTAGAGACGGAAAGTCCTGACCGACAGAGAAATCTCAATGTCCGACTTGAGCACTTGATTCCCGTGGAGACGACCGATCGCGATTACGAAGAGTTTTCGAAATATCTGGAAAGCCAACCGAGACGAGTTCCACCGAAATAACCCAACGACATTGTCCCGAGTCTCCTTGGCCTTAAGTCCCGTAACCGAACACGCACTCACAACAAATCTTTTCGGTCGTTTGCTTATCGCAGTCGATTCAGGCTTCGCCTTGGCCGGACGTTTATTATATACAGCGATTTAATAATCAGCAGGTTATTTCACTACGTAAATTAATCGAATCCAAGCACGGAGCACGAACGCGCACAAAACTCAAATTTTATATAATCTCCGAGTAAACTCCTTTGGAATTTTTCTCAAAGTCTTTGGCCTCCCAATCGACTCGGTGTTTATTTATTTTTTTTTGGCCTCGCGCAAACGAGACTTTCCAAAAGTTCGCGTGTCCCTTGCTGGGAGTGAAGACTGTTTTTTTTTTTTTTTTTTTATTTTTTACAGACCAGTCCCTTCCCTCTGAGAAACCGTCGCCGGACGCATCCTTCCTTCTCTCTCTCTCGATCTTTATTATTATTATTTATCCTCGACGCTCCTCGGGATCGTCAAAGTTTCCCGATCGGCATTCCTCGCTGAAGAAGATAGTCGAGGCGGCGCGAGCACTTCGATAGCCAGCGGTTAAGTGCGACGCCGAAGCGTCGCCGTGGATATTCCCAGCACGGCGAACTCGTGCGTCGGCGTCTCGACGCGGCGCATGCTTCCTCCTCCTGCGGGTTAAACTGGCGCGGCCGTACCTGCCAGTTTATTATTCGCGGCTCTCCCGTCCCACGCGTGGCAGGTGTGCTCGATCTTGGCTGCTATTGCTGCTATTGCTGCTATTGCTGCTATTGCTTCCAAGGGGTGATTATTCGATTCGATGCCTCGAGTCCTCGTTAGCCCTTTCTCTCTCTCTCTCCCTCTTAATCTTCTTTACTCAAGGGATGGGAAGCACTAAAACCAGTCGCTGCTTTTCATTAAATCCTTAAAGCTATATCGAACATCATACGATCAAAGCTATTTCCCGAGTAACTTGCTACCAAGATCGAACCAAAGATCCGTTCACGTTACAGAGCCAGCGAACCGCCGCTGACTTCACGTGGCCGTCACAATAACCATGTCGATATAACCTATATGATCATTCTAGAAGATTCGATTTTAGCCGCAGCAAGTACAAATAGAGGTAGTAACGATCGATAGGAGACGCTTTGATCCTTCGGTTCGATCATATTCAAATTTCTCAGGTGCGCGTCCCCCCCCCCACCACCACCCACCTCTCCCACTCTCCGTTTGACCTTCAAGAATGATGCGTGGGGGATGAACCTCATGTAGGTCTTACACGTACGGCTGTATCGGATCAATGAAGAGTCTATAGAGGTTGGCGGTGCTGGTCGAACGAGTTCATGTCGAAGGCTATGCTTTATTGGATGAAACAATGAACGACCTCAGTCCCGACTCCGTGTATCGGTTTTCCTTGACGCAATGCCCCGGCCGTAGGAGTTTGTGTTTCGCGCGGCCCATTAATACAGCCGCTGCTCGACGTGAAATACAACGGTACATTCCGGCCTGACATTTGACCCTCCTGCGTCAGCTCCTGCTATTTCCATGCACCTCGATCGTGGCTCCGTTCCGATCGTTCTTATCGGGCGCGTCCCCTTCGAGGATTCGATGAAAGTCTAGCAAAAGCTCCCGAGGTGGCTCAACTTTTTGCACTGACTCGCACTGGCTAGACCGATCCTTTCGGGTCCCTTGACGATGGTCTTGTCTGGGCTGGCTGGACCGACGGCGCGTATCGAGGCAGGTGGTCAAAGGGTCAGGGGTCAGGTGGCTCGGGTATCGAAAGAAGGGACACCCTGGCGCGGTCTGGTCTTTTGACGAGCGGGAGGGAGCATAAAGCGGAAAGCAGAATCCGCAAGCTTCTGTCTGTGGAATTGTCTGGCATTGTGCTTGCAAATCAAGCGGTCGAATTTACATGAGATTTATGGGATTCCGTTTGGGTTGGCTCTGAACGTCGTGCCTGTTACCGGTTCGTCTAATGCTGCTAGCGACCTCTGCTCGGTCTTGCATGTATGTATAGGACTTTGTGTGCTATATGCCCTCGTGCTGCCCACCCACTTGTATCCCTGTGCTTTTGGTCTTTTGCTTCGCATTTTATCTTTTATATTATAGCTGAACGATGTATGCTCATGAGGATGCTCCTCTCTTAGTGGTCACTCGCGGATACGTTTTTTCTTTTTTTATATCTTGTCCACGTGTTGCGGCATCGAGACTCTTAGAGAGATTGGGCTTGGGCTTTGTGTCAGCTTTTCGTTCTACCTCTTTGAGAGGAGTAGCGTGAAGTACGACTAGACGTTATGAAATTTCCGAGAATAAGGACCATTGGAAAAATTCTTTTCAACATTTCATCGCACTTGGAGCTATCTCGAGGATCTTTACGTTTTTCCTTCGGCCGCCTCCCATTGTCGTACTCTTCTCTTGATTAATAGACAGGGAGGCTCTATTCTTCCTGGGTAAGTTTCTTCGCGGACCTTTGTTCCTCGAAGCGATTTACGGGTTTTCGCGACTTTCGGCCTTTTTTTTTTAAATAAAACAAAATCATTCGATTTACAAAGTTTGACTTTCGTGAATTTCAATACCAATTCGCTTGTCGCTCGTAGAGAATCTTTTGGGTTGGTAAAAATTATTTTTTTTTTTCGAAACATCGTTTTTTCTTTTCTTTCTTTATCATCCCGATGTTCTTTGATTCTAATATCACGATTCTGCCGGTTCCTTGAACCAGCAGGGACTGGAGGTCCTTTCATCGGGTTCAATGGTTAAAACGGTAGTCCTGCGTAAAGGAAGAAGTCTTACAGAGAGATGCTTTTGTTACATCGATAGAAAGGGGAAATCAGCCGGTTTCCGGAAAGCGGCGAAAGGCGGAGAGCGAAGGTAATTAAGATAAAAATATAAAAGGAAAAAAAAAAAGAAAATAAAGTTCAAGAAAATTGAACGAACTGGAAAGGCAGATTCTCGATGATTAGTCGCACGCTGTTCGACGCAAACCCTAAGGATAACGGAGCAGGATTTACAAAGAGACGAAATTTAGCAGGCGCAGCTGCTCGTTCTTGCAGAAGATGCGTCGGTGATTAAAGAGCAAGGTGTATAAGTTCATTGGAGATTCCAGTCACTGTTATTATTGCATATCGACAATCTTCGGCATTTATCTTGCTTCCCCTTAGAAATCTCGTGTGAATATTTTTCCCTTTCAATTTTCCACGTATCCTGCCAAATCCCTCTTACGCGGCTCCGCCTGCACACCGACGCCATCCAGAATTCCCGCAGCGCTCATCATCGCGAATACCTCGAGCGGCGCGAATATTCCGCGTTCCCAAACTAATCTGACACTTCCGAAGGACGCGGCTCCCTGAACTTCCGTTAGCTCGTCAGCGGTTGACTGTACAAAATTTTAAGCAAGCAATTTAACATACGAAACCATATCCTGGTACACGATGAATCCTTAAATCCTACCGTTGCCCGGTTTATCCTCCGGGCAAAAAGGGAATGACAGTTCGCGTGTTCGCTTTAGGTTAGGTTTTGTTCAGCCAACAGGCAGCATTCAATGGCCAATGATGACGGTGGCCACCCTCCGGTTCTGGTCTGCAGGTTCTCTTTTACCTCCACTACTCATTTTCATCGTTTCTTTTTTTCCGACCGAGCCCGAGGGTCGGTCGATTTCTCTTCGGGATAAGGGACCCTCCTTACCCTCTATTTACCAAGTAGATTTTCTCGGGGACACCCTCAGGATCAAGATGGCCACTACGAGTCCGAATTGCTGTTGCGACTCATAAAACACATCTGGAGGCGTGATGTTTCTCATAGCGCTTCAGGAATTGTTTGGGGATGCCGTATTATTGGGCTGATACGTATTAGATATACGACGGGGACAAAAGGAGGCTCACTGTCCGCCGTGAAAGGGGATCAATTTATTTGATGAATATTACTCAAAGCCGCAGCCCGGTGCAGCTCGTATCGTCGATGGAGGCGCGTTGCAATATTGATGTCTTATTTTTCCCGAGGTCGCGGGGTCGCAAGGCGCAAAGTTTATTGAAAATACCAAAGAGCCGCGACCCGTTTGCGCGGCGTGTGCACAAATGCATTCACGCATCTGCATATATTCCCTGGGGCGTCTTCCCTTCCCTGTGGAAGTAAATTCTGCGTCGCCCTTATGCGGCTGTTCGGAATAATAAGACGTGCCTCCGGATTGGCCTCTTGCTTCTCTTACTTTACTACGAGCCTCAAGGACTTTCAGCTATCCTCGGGGGGTCTACGGGGTCCCTGTGGACTCGGTACACGAAATGGCCTTCAAAAGGTTGCTTCTTCAAAAATTCAGGTCACCTGCCATTTTCGAGAGTCCTGCTGCGCACCACGGTAAAAATGGACCGTGTGTCCCGACTGTACACATATGTTATACATGAATACGTTCCAACATGGGGGACATAGCAATTTGATTTTCATTGAAATATACATGTATGTACTTGGTCACCAGAGGCAAAAGCATCACCTTGCAATGTTTTTCACTTGCCAGCATCCCTCTTTTCTAATTACTTCCTGGACCATTAATTAATGGGGAAATTCATTTCTTTTATTACTCTCGTTAGTTGTACGAGTCTTTTCGGCGGTCCGACCGAGAGTACCCGAGACTACCTTAGCCCGTGGGAAAAAAAAAAGAAATCCGAGGCCGAAGAATCTTCTTTTTCTCGTGGCAACTCTATCGGCCCCGCAAAGGGTGCAAGTTGCATCGTCTCGCATCGTGTTGCATCGCGCACATGGATGATACCCGCATCCCAGAGCTCAGTTCCTCCGGAGCACTTGAAGCGGCAGACTCGGCAGCGAGAGTGAAAGAACCCGAGGAGGAGCATGAGGTAGCGTTACGAGTGCGAAGAGCGCAGAATGGACAAGAGTAAAGATGCAAAGAACGACGGCCGAGTGGCTGAGGATGGAAGAGTTGCATAAGGGTAGTAGGAGATTTCGTGGGAGAGGAAACGTCGGACGTGAAGTCGCCGCAAGGGTGGGTCATCCCTTTTAATTTCCTGTCAGGATCGTCTCAGCCGCGAAAATTAGGGTCCGAGAGGTCGACGTCGTGGCTTGATTGATCGGGCAAAGTTATTATTTCCGTACAAGGCGTCCCGACGCCTCGTCCTCTCGACGTCCAAATTTCTCTCGGCCGACCCGCTCGAGTATTAAAATCATATATTCGTCGGCTCTCTCGTTCCCAAAGCAGTGGGACTCGCGTGGCTCTCGCGAAGGAGCCTCGCTGGGATTTGTGTATTTTAAAGAATGAGCTCCCAGCGCGAAACAGAAGCAGAAGCAATTATGCGCATAATCAGCTGATTTCGCAGTGGATGCTTTTGACATGTAGCCTGGATTTTCTGATTGTCTCCCCTTCGCCTTCCTCTGGGCATGCATATGCAGATGAATACATTAAATATTCTTTAGATCCTGCGCATCTCTTGTTCGGTCTCTCTGCGATTCTACAGGCCAAAGAAGCCATAAGAGAAATATAGAAAAGAAAAAAAAAAAGAAAAAAAAAAGAAAAAAAAACACCTATCCGACGACAGGTGCCACAGTCAAAGATTATCTATAGATTCACAG